AAATTCATGTAAAAGTGCTTCCTAAGTGCGACTAAACGGCTCTAGGCCACCCTTGTATCTTTTTGGACCAATTCCGCTTCTTTTTTCTATTCCTGTATCGTTCGTTTCTTTGTTGTCTGTATTTTTCGATTATTTCGTGAGACATGTGAAATGTGTTTGGCCATCACGACTTCTATCATGCAATCGCTTGTCGAATAAAAATCTTCGTTGTCTAAGCCGTTTCTCTTATTCGTATTTGTACCGTGAAGTGTTCCCTGAAAAATTGAAGAAAGAGAAGAAGGCGTACAATTTGACTGTGTACAGATCAGTATTACTGTTCAATTTTTTAAATAATCTTATCATATATTAAGCATTCGGTATTGTTAGTATTTTTAAGTAACGTTACAGATTAAGCGTGATATTCACTATTACTTAAGAGATCTCGCGATACGTTAACGTTAATGCCACTTGTTAACGCTATCATGTCGAAAACGCGAGGATGATCTAAAAAGAGGCAAAAAACGATCTAGAGAAATAAAAGAAATATAATTTCCATAAGAATCTAGAAATTAATCTTCCTTGATCAATAAGAAAGGAAGAACGAAGATCAAAGATCCCGACACTTGAGTCACGAAATCAAATTGTCGTAATTTTGTCTTCCATCACAGGTCCATATTTTACATTCGTCTAAGTCCCTATTCCAAAAACAAAGAAGATTCTTCATATCTGCAACTTCAATATACATATCCGCTGTTCCGCGATTATTAAAAGATCTCTCCAAACTCTCTTCTCGTATCTTCCTTAGCTAAACCAGCGTTCGATCGATTTCGAGTTTCAGGAAATCCACGTGTCACGTTACAGCACTCCACTCCAAATCTATAGATCTTTATTCGATCGTTACTGAAATACGCCCGAGCCCTCTTTTTAGATTTTCCTTTATTGAAATCGCGATGGATGCCAAATTTCATCAAATTTATACGTGTCGGTGTATAGGAATCGTGTTCGACGGAAACGTCTCTTTCTCAATTTTTGGCCAAAATTCGAAAACGGTGGTCGCCGCGCAAAGATCATCGTAAAAAGGAAGACGAGACAAGCGAAATAAACCCCCGATGGCGTGATAGAAGTCGATGTGTGGTTCGGTTCTGATGGAGCATGTGATATGTGTTTTCCAGGGTACAGCAAAACCTGCATGCCTACTGTAAGACAGATAATTGACTGTCTCGTTGCTGCTCGACCCATGCCAATCCGATGCGGCCCCTGCCTTACTGCTAAACGTACTAATACTGCTACTAACAATCGCGGTAGTAACGGCGCCAGTCGCGTTAGTAGCACGGCTAACAGCAACAACATCAACAGCTACATCAACAACAACAAGAACGTACACGCCTACGAGAACATTCAGAGCTTTAGTATGCGCGAGAACGTCCTGATCGGTTGCGCGACCAGCCGCGACTAGGATTTCCGTTTATCGCAGTGCTGGGGAGGTTTGGTCAAACCCTTACGAATCGCTTGAGAATTGTAGATCTTACGAGTGTCGATTCTTTTTCTCAATTGAAATTCTTTACGAGCGAATGGAACGAAGGAATCCATCGTTTCCTTTTGTTGGATTGTTTGGAAATTGTTTCTGGCGAAATTGAAGAACTGTGGAACTTAACGTCGATCGTAAGAAATTGTTATGAACTTTCCGAAATACCTAAGGTTTTTTCTTTAGTATAAACCAATGTAATATAACAATTGGAAATGTTTAGGATTGGACACCATTTAGGAGGAAAGGTTTTGTTTATTGTACGATCGTTTATTTTATGAGAATTTTTATAATAATGTATGATTAACTATTTTACTTTTCTATTTGTTAATTCTTTATGAAGAGCTATTATTTATTTCGTTTGTACTATCTGTTGTTTTTATATTATGCAAATAGAAGAGAACTCTAAAAATCTTAGGGGTTATATAAGGATAGGATGTTTCTTTTATAAGTTTCTCTTATATTTTTTAAATATTAAAAAGCAAGAACTTGTACCTGTTTTAATATAAGATGCAAACACTTGAGAAGATGATTTTGAGATACAACATTGAGAGATCATAAAGCGTGTAATATAGTGTTGTTATTAAGATAAGCCTGAAAAAAGAAGAAAACGTAAAAAAATATACGTATGCCTATGTATATTTTATATTCTTTTGCCAATTCTAGTGGTTAGTATTCATTTATTTTATCGCTGCAGCAAGTATTTACACTATGTCATTAAAATTACCATACAAAGTATGACTCCTAGCGAGGACCTTATTGTTGCTAACGTTATGATCGCTGATCAATTGGAATGTTTCTCTGTTCGAATATTATTTCCCCAGCACTGCTTGTTTTAAAAAGAAAAGAAAAGTTTTTTGATTCCGTTCTTTTGTACTCGGACCGTATTTTTCAACGTTAGAATTTGATACATCTTTTTGCACTATTAATGTTAGAGAAAATGGTGTCAACTCGTACGATCATTGTAAACAAAGTTACGTCATATAAACAATTTATTCAGAAATTCACGGACAGGTCGTGTTACCAATTAAATTTCGCATGACATCATCTTCTTTATCGTTAAAATTTCACAAGAATTCAGAAGCTTGTCGAAAAGCATGTATTCAAATATTTAAAAAAAAGAAAAAAGATAGAAACTCTGTTTGATACTGGCACGTTACCAATTGTAACAGATTATGATTTCCACTTTTATGGGAACTTACAGAAACGGAAGTAGGCTGAAGGGAAAAATAATTTCACCCAGCTAACCATAGAACTGCTTCTGTCAGCATTAAACTTTCAAACCTTTGTTAAATTATTATCTCCATTGAAGCTTAGAAAAAGACTATACTATCTTACGTTACAGGCTATTAAACAGTTTCCGTGAATCAAGATCATTACAATCATTAAGGATCCGTTTGTATACTATTTTCATTACATACAACGCTGCTACTTTCTTACAATAGCGTCATTTTACTCGTATCTCACAGGTTGCGTGTCTACTATTATGGCTACAGTTATAATTTTGCAATATCCGCGACAATCCTAGCCGCTGTGGATGTTGCGTATTAACTTTGGCGGTGCGTTATTTCGATTTAATGACATGACGATGGAAACGACTTATGCTTTGGTACTTGATGCGGTCAATTTGCAAGTGTCGTTTCGAAACGATGTCAATGGTCATGCGAGCACGTGGCAACAAATGTAAATTAAAAGCTACAGTGTCAATTGGACGATGATTTTTTAATTCTACGTCTAGATCGAAATATCGAAGAACGCATTTTACGAATTGGTACCACCATGAAGTGGCTGATTTTCGAATTATTTTTTATGTAGAATCATCCTCTTCCTGGCCGTACCATTAATCACAGAGGACATTTTGTATATTCGAATGTTACAGAATCTTGTATTACAAATTTTGTTCTTTACAACGCGTTCGTTGACGTAATGATTTATTTTAAAATAATGCGAGGCGGAAAGATCGAAGTTAGATCGTAAAACGATTGATCCATACGATTAGCATTTTTCTATGGTTTCGCAGAGTATAGATGATCTTATCGGCCGCGAAACTTCCAAATTAGTATCTCGCGGTTACGAGGGCGAGTTTATAAGGAGAAATCAAAATAATCGATACATATTTTATATACGTTGGCAAGAGAGGAAGGATGAGAGGATGAATGAGAGAGAAAAAATGTTTGAAACTGAAGAAACGCAAACGAACTTCGACGGGCTTGGATTATTGTTATATTTTTTGAGAAACTTTGTTTCCTAACTACTACCAAAGAAAACCAAAGAAACAATTCGTCGAATTTTAATTATTTTTTCTATTTCAGCTCTTACTACAATTTGAACTTTGCACTCCAACAGATTTGCATATTTCTTTTCTTCTCAAATTTAAGCTGAAACAAAATTTATACGGAGATAGAGGTTTTAAAATGATTCTGAAGTTGCAGATTGTTTCAATTGAAATGAAAAATGGAAAGATTTGAATTAGTTACGGAAATAATCTATTTACATGCAGCAATAACAATGACAAAAAAATTAACGAGTTGTTAAAAGTCCAGGCGGAGTATAATTAAAAGTTGACGAAGGTCGATGCCTTATAAAAAGAGTCTAATGAGTTCTTAACGAGTAATTAAAATTTTAAATCATCCGGCAATTTATTAGCTGCAACTTGACAAAATTGCTCGAAGCAATTCTTGATAGGCTGAAAAAGAATTTTACTGCTATTTATCGACAATTGTATCAATCGTCTGAGTATCCATCTACATACATATATACTTGTTTCGTTCAAAAGTCCAACGTTCACTGTATATTGCGATTCGTTGATCATTTTCAAAGAAGTCCTTGGGAGTGCAAAGATCAAGTGTCGCGTATCTTTGCTGGATGATAATATTATTCAAGAAAATCTTCCCTGGCGCATGTAGTATATTAATACCGCGTTTTTCTTTCTTTTTCTTTCGTATTTAATTCAGGAGTAGTTGCGAGGTAAAATGAACAAGAATTGAGATAGAATTTTAGCGGCTACGCTTTACTATGTAATATTTTTTAGATTTGACTATCTTATCTAATTTTCATGCTGGTCTGTCACCGAAATGCCAGGCAATTCTGACAATGAGTCACGTTTAATATTACGTGGCTAATAATAAATAATATTTATTTCGATATACTACAACAGAAATATTTTTAACGCATCCGTCGTAATTATTAAACAACGCTTGAAACGTAATATTTGCTTCTTTAGTTCTCCTCGATGCGCGTTTTGCTACTTTGTTTCGCAAAGACATTTCAGAATCAATGGTCGATGTGACGTATCCCAGTAGAATTATCGATAATATATTCCAGCCTAAGAACGAGTTACGAAAAAGAAAAAAAAAAGGGAAATTCTCACGCATAGTTCGCACGTTGTATATGTTTGTATACTATGTTAATCTCCGATAATAGTGAGTGTTGTAACACATGTATATCTGTGGAAAAAAATCATGTAAGAGGAGATCAATAAATCAAAAATGACAAATTACATCTCATTGGTGCCGAAACATTAATTAATCATTTCATCTTCGTTATATTTATTTTCTCTCATTATCTCCCTGAATGCTCTGATATCCAATATTACGCGACTATAACATTGATAGAACATGTTCTGTTTCATGATTACATTTTTATAGATCAAGCATTGGTATGGACGATTACGATACAATCCCAGAGCTGTAGATACAAGAAGTTTAAACGAAGAGTAAAAGTACGAGGTAAAGGCATATCCTCTTCCTAACATTTTTCCGCTTACTTACTAAGTAATCAATAACTAACGCGTCTTTTATATAAAATATAATAATTTAAGAATACTTAAAGAAACTTTGTTTGCGCACGTCTACACTTACGATATGAACAAAATGTACATTAATGACGTAGGTGAGAGTCTTTAACGTGGTCCTCCATTTTCTCAGTAGTTAAAAAAACATATTATAATTTTACAATATATATAAAAACGCAATATCCCGTTAATATACATATGTACGCAGCTACGAACTAACTACACTAGATCAATTTAGAATGAACTAACCCTGTAAAGCTTGCGAAGAAAGATGCCTTTTTCACTATTTAAACGGTACGAGGTGGTTTATTTTCCAATTTAATGTCTTTTTCCACATTAATTTTAACCTTTATGTCGAAATCAAGATTTGTATCTTAATTGAAGCAGACAAATGAATGCGAGGGCAAAAATCCACACAGTGACCACTAAAAATCCTGAGTATACCTCCGGCTCGTCGAGGTCAGTCCCTTTTTGCATAATCTCCCTTAGTGACTTTCCCGGTACCGTTATAGGCATCGTTAAACTAAGCCATTGAAGAAATTTCGGCATACCCTCGATTGGCCACATCAATCCTTGAAAATGTCAAAATATTCTTAATAAGTATGTATTCTATATATTTTTTCATATTATACACATTAGACGTACACCAATTTTTCTTTGATCTTTCTGACAGATTCCAAACATCTTGCGCTCGTAGTAGTAAATGATACTAAAATAAATAAACTTATGTTTAATCACTCACCACAAAGAACAAGCAATGGATAAAAAGTTCCCGTTGATGCATAATTGGCCAAACTATGAGAAGTACATGACACTGATATCAAGAGACCTACAAATGATTTTTTCTCATCAAGATATTTTGTCATAGAAATTGTAATTCAAGTGATATTATATCATAATTCTAAATAATTAACTGAATTTATATCATAATTCAAGGATGACAAACATGTAACATAACCGTCGTAAATATTCATTTGCTAATTTTAATTAAGTCGGAAGCTTACCGTATACCATTCCACAAATTCCTTCTAGCATAATCATCGCGGTGACACCGATCTTTGATCCTTCGCAATACATATCATACTGCTCGAAACCAATATATAACGCAAGTGTTACTTGAAATACAATGATTATAGCTTGCGTTATCAAGTGAGTAATCAGAATCTCTGCGGTGGTAACACCTATTTTACATGAATATTTATGGATCAATAACAATGTAATTAATTATTTTACAATTGTGCAATAATTTTATGCAACTTATATGATAGTTTAGTATTATAGACAATGTATTATTTGTCGTACATACAGTGAGCTTATCAAGATATGATTTATTTCACATTTAGTGATTTCATTAAATGCTCAGTAATAGAGCGAACGTAAAATAAAAAAAAGAATAAAGATGAAGAATGACATAGTCAAATTCGTTTCCTTCATAGTACAAATTTTCTACGTTCAGAATTCATTTTCACGTTCAGAATTCGTTCATAATTTCATTATAAATAAAATGAACACGTTAATCAAAGGAAACAAAAACTAAATATTTGAATTTACCTTGAACTAAGATCCTGTCCCATATGCCAGAATGACGATCGACTATGATTGCACTCGAAGAAATAGATGTTGCCAAAATGAATAACATTCTAGAGAAATAAAATTTATACATAAAGATGAAACGATCTTATAATTCGTAGGAAAATTGTAATTTACAACAGAAAAAGTATTACGTTAGCAAAAATACTGGTGTGACATATTGTCCATACTCCATTTCCATCTTACCATAAATCGGATCTTCAAACTATAACATTAAAAAATCAGTATCATTCTGGATCATTTTCACTAATATTGATTTGTTTTTTAACATATACACACCTTTATTGGAATATTTGCGTACTTTTTACTAATTCCACATTCCTGAACAATTTTCTCTAACTCTTTCATCAACATTTTATATAAGTGTTGTTTTACGAATAAAATAATTTCTCTATCTGCAACATTGAAGGAAACGTGGATAGATGATCGTTCTATATACATTGGGAAACAATTAATTTTACGGCAGTTATATTCTTGTCACATACCTGGAATATGTAACTCGACGTCGATTATAGAAGCCGAAATAACATCGTCAGATATAGTAAGCATATTTTCTAACTTCTGTTCCATTCCAAGTGAAAAATTTCTCTGAAAATACATTATTCCAACGGCGTCATGATTATGCTTCAATTTCTCCTTCGCTTTTTCGTAATTATCATAAAATTTCTGAAAAAAATACGATTAACAATTACTCTTATTCTATCAATTATTATGTTATTATTATTATATTTATTAATCTCTTAAAATATTAATTATTATTCTCTTAAATTAATCTCTTAAAATAGTCCTTTTCTTAAAAAATATATTTTTCACTCACCGTCTCTAGAATATTATCGTCTATGTTGGCTATGAACCTACAACTGAGATCGGTGAACTTGCACGTTTGCTCTTCGTTGTAGTATGTAATATTGCCTAAATATTTCTGACTATTACAGGCACCAGTCTCTTCGTTCACTACGTATATCATGAGATTTTTTGGGTCTGGACCAACCGTATAAAAGAACAGCATCATTTCCAACACTGGTAAGACGATTGAGAATAAGAACCCCCTAAGGACAAACAAAGAAATCGTCAACTAAATTTCTCGTTCCTAATCTTCGTTAATAATCAAATATCTTATAACATTTACCCAGGATGACGCAAAAACTGAAGCGCATTCTTATAAAGCAAAGCCCTAATTCTCGTCTTCCAGTTACTTTGATGCATCCTCTGCTGAAACATGATTTTTTTGTTGTTTCATCTTAACAAATAAAATATTTCTTACATTCAGAAAAGGAGAAATACTTTGTTCTATGATTTATCAATATAGTTAAATTTTTCTGGTGAAAATACGTGATTAGAAGATCATCAAACACCGCAGCACCGAAACACTATGTAAAGTTTGGAAGGACTTGTATTTTTTGATCTATATAGATCTATATAACTGAATAAGCTTCAAGCGTTGTATCACCTTCGTCTTCCCGTTGCTGACATCGTACGAATTATAAATCGGATTAATCTCCCCTGGAGGATTAGGGATCAGATTATTTCCTTGTGAATCCTCAGCTTGTTGTTGACTCAAGGTTAAGAAGGCTTCCTCCAGGGAGTCGGTTTGAAATCGCTCCAATAATTCATTCGGTGATGATTCAGCCAACAGCTGGCCATTTCTGAGCAATCCAATCTAAAGAGTATAATAGTGACATTAACATACGATGAAACTTATCTTTTTATAGCAACCCGCTTTACCTTTCTTGCTAGAACAATGTCATCAAGGCAGCTATTATAAAGTACAATTATACAGGCTGTTACTATTACGAACGCCAACGAATAGAATAAGATTACGAAAATATATAAAAAGAAAATAAATAAGGTGTCGATAAATAATTGTCAGATATTTATCGCTCGGATATTGGAACTTAGCTGAAATGAAAATTATTGAAAAATATCTGATCAGCATATGCATTGATTCAACTAAAGTAACAAAAATTTGGAAGTTTACGTAAGTGAATTTGTATCGTAAAATACGTATTTGCTAAGGCTAATATTTATACGAATGATCTTTAACTTGTCTTATTAATATATGCTAGTTTTGTCGCGTAAAATAAGATATTCTACTATGCAATCATTGATTTAATAAGATAATTTATGCTTAATTAGTTTATCTCATAATATCTATACTACACTATCATTATACTACATAGTAGTATCATACTACTATACATAGTATCTAATAATCTCAATCATTATCATGATTGAAGGATACGAATGTTCATTTTATCATTCAATTCATTTACCTTATCAGATTGTTTTGCTTCCTCGATATAATGCGTAGTGATAATCACTGTGACACCTTCTTCTTTTGTGATCTGCGTCAAGTGGTTCCAAATACTGTGCAAAAAGTCTTCGTTTATGTTATTGTCCTTACGTTAAGTTTAAAAAAGGTGGAAGGAAATGAAAGTATACTTGCTTGTCCCTTAAAACTGGATCTAAACCGACAGTGGGTTCATCGAGGATCAGCAGTTCAGGCCTCTGAAGCAGAGCTGCTGCGAAGGATACTCTTCTTTGCTGGCCACCGCTCATGTTCTTCACCAAACGGTCCCTGGGTGGCAGTTGGAGTAAATCCTTTAATTCTACGTATCTTTCTTCTGAAAATAATTTTCTCGATTTCGCTAACATAACTTGATATATGCATGCATGATGATCTATTCGCTTTTTGATCCAAATATCTAACAGTTTAAATTAAATCCTATACGATTCAATAGTGTACAACTCTTTTGCATTCGTAAGGGAAAAATATAAGAATATAGTTGTAAGTTCTTAAATTTACCAATTTCAAATTTTTCCATGCCACTGATTGTTCCAAAAAAGACAAGCGCGTCAATCACAGAAAATTCGTCGACCAGCGAAACATCTTGCGGCATGTAACCGATACGAGGCCCTGGTATTCCAGAATCTTCGGTTCCCGGCTGGCCACCGAGTACCCAAATATCCCCATAATCCAATTTTCGGACGCCAACCACGCAAGAAAGTAAAGTGGTCTTTCCGCATCCACTAGCTCCCAGTAAGCTATATCTGTGTAAAGAAATGTACGTATATGAGCGAATTGAAAAAATTTGAAAAGATGTTATAACATAAATTCTATCTAACGTTTTACTCACATACAGCCTTTGGGAACAGTAAGATTCACGCCATTCAAGATGTATACTCCACCACCATATGTTTTCTTCGCATTCTTGACGATGACTGCATTTTGCCCTGCCATTTTGCAAGGCAACGATTTCAACTAAAAATTGCAACCTATAACATTAATTATAAGTACAGATATATTCACGAATACATATCAAGAGGAATATTTGAGAAATAATGTATATGTATATCTGTATACAAACAATGCAAAATTTGGTAATTATTTACAAGTGATTATGTACAACTCTTCATAAAAAATGTTATTAAACTGTACAAATCAACAGTAAATTAATAACTAGTAACACTTATTACCTTTTTATACATAGTGTATCAAATTACTTAATAAATTAATATAATATATTAAATTACTAATATGTCTATTAAAATGACTTGAAATCTTCGAGGCACATAATTTATGTGAGATGTATCGAATATGTCCTCGTTTATCTTTTTGCTTTTTATTACTTTAGACATTTATGTTTACAGTGAAAGGAATTATCATAATTCTCCTATCGATTCGAGAAATTCGAAAGAATAAATTGTTACACTTAGACACAGTGATTGAAATTTTAACATAATTTATTAATTTTATCCGTCTCCCATTCTTAATTCTAATAACTTTCGTTAAATTTTTTATATGCACCTTCGTGAAATACCTTCAAGAACTGTCCAATATGAGAGGCATAGGACAAGATTGATTAAAAAATACGTAGATATAGGGCGAATATAGAAAATAATTTAAATACATAATTTGAAGCAGTCTAAAATAATTGTGAAACAGATAAATGCAAAACGAGAATTATTTCGTTATTTAAAGAAACGTATAAAACTGTATTACAAAAATAATTTCCATCATTCAATAATCTTTTCTATTAGTTCTTCATAACAAATTATATTGTATTAAACTACTAAATACACATTGCAGTGTAAAGAATGAATAATCAATCGTTTTACGCATAATTTACAAAAACTAAAATAATTAACATATTGAATTTGAAATGCTGTTATTAATATGCAAACGTACCATTACACAGGAATAACTTAATACCAAGGCTGTTTATTTTAATGAAATGTATATCATGTTTTATCGATAAATTGTTCGATAAATTAAAGTGTTGTAAACAAAGAATATTGAACATAAATATTATATAGCGCAAATTACATATTAAATAATACTATATATTACTCAATATTACATTGAGTTTGATATCAACAAAACTGTCGGCTGTGAATTATCTATCTCGGCAAAGAAACGAGAGTAAATAATGAATGTGTATTTTATAATGCAGAATAGATGTGAATCAGAGTGCGTTGTTTAATGCGCTATAAACCAGACATAATCTCATCTAAAAGAAAACAATTTTTTCGCGTATGTTCCACAACGTTCCGCGCACTTTAGAGTTCTTATACGATCTCAAGAAATAGAATTAAGAAATGTGCGCGTCATATTTCAATAGAAACGTAAAACGTCATTGAAAATCAGATTCCGAAAATTAAGAGTATCTATAACAAGACAGAAGGAAGAAGAAAGTTCAAAAAATGATCCGTTCGTTTGACATCCACATGAAAGTTTTATTTTTCAGCTCTTCGTCTTATAGCAACGTTCCATTCATACAAATCACCTAATTCTAGAAACGAAGGAAAAGTGTGTATTTCTTTTTTCATCCTACAAGTACGGCTGCTCCTAGGCAACATATCCAACTGACAGTCTTAAGTAATACAACATTCCGTGGGTCTACATTCGCACTGTCGAAACGTTTCATTAAACGGCAGTATACCTACTGCAACTCTTTCACGTGTTCAACAAACTTGGTTCGTTTTAATATTATTTATCTTTCGCCGCTGTAAAAGGGCTCCGTGAATCTAGGACTAACAATCACGTAATACCGAATAGATTGCTCTTAAGAAAGAATTCCACCAAGGCCATCGAGGCTTATTCTGCCACTCGCATCAGACATCGTTTCTTCTTATGGTAAATTGTCTTTTTTTTTTTTTTTGCGTAATTCTATATGGTCTCTTCTACTTTCACGATCCGTGAAATTTCAATTGGACTCATTGCAAGAAAATTGCGCAACGTTTACACACTTCAATGGTTTTTAACTCTTCCGATCGGGGGTCTTACGAAATACCAATTAGCCAAATTCTTCACGCTACGATTAACGTTGCCTCTGAACCTTATAATTAATGACATGTTAAACCAGTGTAATTGGAACTCTATGTTCTTTATTTTTGTAAATTTCTCGATTTTATTGTCAAAACGATTCTTCGACGAACTGATTCGATTTCTTCAGAAATAGAATAATTGACCTCGCTAGATTTGGTCTGTTTTCTCTCGTTCTCAGTGTGCGGATTATTGAAAAAAATTGTTTAACGATAGATGTATAGAAATTAATCTATTAATGCCACGTTTTCTCAGGACATCATAACAACGTTTGTCTATTGGAATCTTAATTTTCCAGAGTTCTTTTCTTAAAGCTACGTTGATCTTCTTTTCATCTATGAGTATAAATATCAAGCGAAGATTTCTCAGCTATCGACTCAGCTATCAAGCTGCTCATTATTTATCAATTTTATCAAAGTGACTAATAAACTGGTTTTCTGACTTACAGCTTCCGTCTAAAGACATTCACCCTATCGAATGATATAGAATAGCAGGTTGATATGTTTAAAGTCAAGTTACAACAAGTTTCACACGAACCGTTGCTCTCATCATTATGAATTCTGATCGGTTCGCTCCTACACATTAAATATCAATCACTTGGCCCCATCTATTTATCATTCAACACATCTATCTTCGATATACGTTATCGTGATCGTGTGACACGAATTCGTAACGGTCGCTCCTTTGACTGTAATTACACGATATTGTATCAGAAATTGAGGGAATATTTAAATATAGTCTGCTTCGAATGTCCATTGGAAAATTCATCACATATTTAAAATTAGATATTCCTTTTATCGTACGATGGTTTATCGTGTAAATAGTATTAGTATTCGACACCTATCAGCACTTTCAATCTTAGATTCTGTTGAAGAACACCTAATCCAGGTTATATCATATTATGGATTTTCTATATAAGATGAAGAGAAAATTTGTTATTTGTTATTAATGAAAGTTAGAATTTTAAAAAGTGGGTCATTCTTCTAACAGAAGATATCAAAAATATAGAAAAGCGTAGTTAGCTACGCTCTAGCGATTTCAGTAACTTGATTGGACAATTAAACGAGGTAATTGAAAATCAAAGTGTGAAAAATGTTCAGCATGTAACAATGAAAGATTCGATGACATACCACGAGATCAGAATCATTCGTAAAGTATCAAATTTTCAGTGATCCCATAGCTAATATCCTCCATTAACTCGATTATACAAACTTGATTTATATAAATAAAGATATACAATCTTATTAAGAAAATAAGATTATAACTGCGAAAAGAGATGGTTCCATTACAAATTACTTCCAAACAGATTTCCGCATCATTTTTTACGTAGCGACACATGTCAAAATCTTTCAAAAGTCATCGGGTTATCGACATCCACAGTTTTGATAAGTTTTAAAAGACGCGGATGTACAGAGTGGTTGGTAACTGGTGGTGACAAGCTGAAAGGGGGTGATTTTATACGAAAAAAGAAGTCGAAAATATAGAATAAACATTTTTCGTTCGAGGCTTTATTTTCGAGAAAATCGACTTTGAATTTTCGCTCGGTACGCGTGCACTTTATCGCATCTCGTTATAACGGATCTCACTGTAGATCGTTGTCTCGATGGAAAAATTTAAAAAAATTTGTATTCTATATTTTCGACTTCTTTTTTCGCGTAGAATCACCCCCTTTCCGCTTGTACCGCCAGTTACCAACCAGCTTGTATATTTTTTTTTTTATTTATTTATTAAAATTACAATCAATTCTCGCGTTGAGAAATTGTATATTTTTGTAACTGTAACTGTATATTTTTGAGCGTCGTATTCTAAGAGGGGAATGTTACAGTTTTGATTGGATTTTAATGAAACAAAAGATTTTGCTACGCCGTTGTTTCCTATAAATACGTCTTATGTCAATCCACTCAGTTACGTCAATATCTCTAAAAATATAAATGATATATAAGAAATGTTTCAGAAGAACATTAAATGGCACTTGATATTATAATTTTTAAATGAATAGATCCATCTTTTATTACAAATTCTCGTAGCTGATATTCAGACGACGTTTTCAAAACATGTCTAATCCAAACATCGCCATCCGCCGTTATGTAAATTTTGCAATTTAAGAGCAATACATAATGGAGTCTGAAAGCGATTATTGGAAATCTGCTGATTATTTTGAAGACATCAAGGCAATGCCATACCAGTAGTAACGTTATAAAAAACCACATCGAATTTTAAAATTCGTATTTCGATAACACGAATTTATAACTGTTTAAAAACGTTTTTACGTTTGTATTGCATAAATGATTTATCCTACGAACATGTAATAAAAAATGAAGGCATCCATAAATATTTCATTGCAGATTTCAAGGCTACCGCAAAATCGAATGCAAAAACCACCTCGGTATCGTGCAACTTTTGCCCGCGGTTCGAGACACACTGTATATATTCACATACACATATAAAATATATTTTATAAATTTGTAAATCTATATGTATTTATAATCGTTACACAGTATATGCGTTTTAAGCATCTACGCGCTATTCCTGTAATTATCAGAAATATGAAAATACGTTTCATATGAAAATCGTGTGGGATCGAGAAGAACATATGACAATAGCTTTATCTCGAGCTAGTATTGGAACGACTTGTGAAGATCACATTTGAATTTTTAAATAAAAACCTACATTTTTTGTCGTATGTTTATTGCAACTGATATCTAGACCTTTTCGTGTAACCTATACGTGTAACTTACATATACCGTTTTAGAGATAGTAGTTCTTAAGATCAGCGTTATCCAATGCACAGCACTAGAATGTTGCCCGGTCGAGCTTTATACACCGCAGTGGCTTTAAAAGAAACCGATTTTTGCGTGTGTGTGTTTCGAGAAAATGTAACATTTAACTTTAGCCGGTTAGAATGACGTTAATGAAATTTTTGCGCACTTGGCGATAAGACGGATAAAATATCCGTAGCCTGGAGGTAATACAAATTCAACTTTCTTTTCAATAACAAATGATGTAATGAACATTCGTTAATTCCTATTTCCAGCGTGAGATTAATTAATTATAAATTAATTATAAAATTCTTTCCTTTGCTCCAGTTACGAGATTGCAATAATACATGAATACCGATGACACTGTGCAATCTTATGGCACTGTGCAATCTTATGGCACTGTGCAATCTTATCTAATAAACAGAATCGAGTCGACGTTGTTCAAGCCAATCGTTTTTATCAATAAAAATAACACGGTTTATCATCGGATAGCCTTTTTAAGGTATACATTGGGTAACGCTGACATCAGTGATACGTCAGCTTTAAAAAGTCATATCTCCAAAATTATAAATTACATGTGTACATGATACATGTAAATAAATGTACAATACATGTACAATAAATGTACATAAATGTACAATAAAATTACATTCGATAATTGAAAAATGATCTTCACAGATCACTGTTATCTCAAGATAGAACAACTATCATTGTGACGATCTCGTCCTTCTCGATGGCATACAACTTTTATCGAAGAAAACTTCTCTCTATTTTTGATAGTTAAAAAGATAATCGTGTCTAGACGTTTAAACCAGAAATATTATTATCTGATGATATTATGATCTGGTATTATCCTGTTGCCAAACTTGACGTTTTGTTTCTCGATTTAAATCCTTTTTCTAAAAAACGTAAGCTGTTTTAAAGTAAATTTATGATTAGGTTCTGTTTTCACTCAGACGATTTCGATCCTTGTGACTCAAGACGATTATCTGAATAAATAAAATTTTTTTCCTGAATAAATGCATACAAATGTAACGACCAGAATTTGCATCCCATTGGATTGAAAATAACACGGCGTCTACGGGTGTAGACACCATGAAATCTTCCTCTATGATGTTTTTTTTAATTTCACTTAGAATAAATGTACAGGTCGGTCTAGTTGCTAGAATCATCCTGTATTTTATAATTATAGAAATTAGTTTTAGTGACTAGTCTCGAGGAATGCAGAATTCTTATCGCTAAATATATAAACCGGTATAATGTAATGTAGAAACCAGATACACCAGCAGCCTGAAACTGCGTCGATGCTCGAGAGAAATAGAATTTATCGAAGAGAGCAAAATTTTCCTTCATCATATATTCCGTAACTGTTTAAGTTGTTTAAAGTCTATAAAACGTGGAATCATTGATATTAAAAACTAGAAAATTCTCAGCGCGATGCAAATCTTTATGCGTATCATTAGATTTTCCTCGCGTAACATTAATCGATTAATCTTATCAATATCTCGAGCGTGACCGTTCCCCGGAAGAAATCTCGATTTCTAAGTACGAAAGGAATAATCGCCTTCCTACTTCCTCGGCGCGTGTTCGTAAAAGAAGAGCATAATACGGTTGCAATTTCTTCGGTGGCGAATCGATTTAGGAAAGATTTAGGAAACTTGCACGTTGGACGAACCGTTCATTCGATGATAACGCGAGACGTTTACACCTCTGTATACTTTCTCACATCTCTGTTTAATTCCTTTCTCAAGCGGCGATCTAACGCGTGCTTCGTAAACACTTTCACCGTGTTTGACCGCGAAATATTTTAATTAATTTCGAAGTCTTATCTCGATGAACACCGGATGAGGATATAATCATTTCTCGATAACGAGTATCATACATAAAGTGAAACGGAGATATTTTTTAATAGAATATATTGCTATAATAAAGTGACTGAAGAAATCGTACTCAGATTTCAAACGAAGTTATCTTCACGGTGAGACAAACTAACAAGAATAGGCGGACCCAAATCATCGATCATCGTATGGTTTATTGCACTCTTCACGTCAAGCTGTACTAAAAATGTGGAAACTAAATAAGTCCGGAACTGAAGGAAAATGTGATACACAGCGGAATAAATTACCGCCACTTTTCGAACAGCACCTGTTGATTTATACCGGTAACGCAATAATAAGTGAGAGGCCGCTTGGCACGCGATCGATCTTTTGAGTTACTGTTTGTATTTCATATGAAATAGAAAAATATTATAAAATTTGTACAAGATTAGAATCGCATAGATTCTTTAGTATGGACCGAAATTCTATGCATAAAAATATTAATAAAAGACGCTATCGATAATCGACTGAGGAGCTAGGACTATTTCTTGCAACAAAAGAAGAAGACTATCAATGAGTTTCGTATAGGAATTTTCGCGATTCCAAGAATTGGATCGCAACTCGAGGTATCGAGAAAAGCCGAATTGTGCGAAATTATTCGATCTTAAAAGTTCAAATCCACTGAAAGTTCAACTTCCGTTAAACACTGTCACTAAAATTATCACCTTTTCGTCTCTTCGCGATACTAAACACATCCACTATGAAAGAACGAACCATTGAAATTCCTCTCTTCTATACTGAATATCCTCTTAATTTAGATTCCTCCCTCTCCCTAATTATTTTAATTTTCCCCAACGATATCGATGAAAATCAAATCTTTAAAAATTGTTTCGTTCTTCTATTCACATTCGAACCGCTCCGAACTTTCAAGAGTCGGGAGTGCATCAGGAATGCATCGGGAATGCATCGGAAAGTACGAACACAATTAACGAGAAGCACTGGAGAACTGTCCTAAGGTTATACCTTTCCCCACGGCCATGCTTTGCAAGCGTAACTGGCTGACACGTGATAAAACTGCGTCTAAGAGTACATAGAAGGTTTCTTTATAACGGTAGATCATCCGTATATACGTGCAATACGTATCTGAATAGGTCGGATGTTCGTGTGCGTGAAACTGGTCTTATGCGAAGATGGGCTATTGCTTGTGAACTACGAAGGAATAGTCATTGTCCTTTATATTTGCTCAAAGATAATATTATATGTATCGTGCTCGATTGCTTTCTAAATTTGCTATGCTATGTTGTGTTACGTCTTACTGATATTGGACTAATTGAATTCTTGTACGCTATACAGGGTGATCCACGCAACTGTTTCACGTTATAACTCCGTTACCAGTGCAGTTACGGAAATGTGTCAAAAGAAATGATTAAGGTGAATAATTCAAGGAGTACCACATCCGTAGGAGTATGTTTCTTCCTTTAGAAATGCAGCGAACGCATATGCAATCAGCAATCGCATTACTTTTTTAAACGGAAACGCATACTACGAGAAGGAGCGTTGAGTAAATAAAAAAGTAATAACATACAGAATGAAAATTAATTAATAAGATTTAAACGAAGTAAGAACCGATTGATTACCGAGATATTTTAACTAGAATTTTGTAAAATTTATCGCATATAAGACAAAGGAAACTCTAATGGGTTTGTCATAGAGTGACGAGAGGAGTCTATCAATGTAAAGCAAAGTATGCATTTGCATTAAAAAAAAATAGTGCAATTGTTGATTGCATATGTACCATTACACTTTCAAAAGAAAAAGAAATTATCCTACGAATATAATAGTTACTCTTTGAACCATTCATCTTTCTCCTTTGATATTTTTTTGTAACTGCGTTGATAACAGAGAATAAGACGAAACAGTAGTATATATACTACGAATAATTTTGAAAAAACTTATTTATATCTTAAAATATTGCCATTTATATAACAAAATATTTATTTCTACTTCATGTGCAATTTGAATCTTTATATATGCGAGAAATTGTTCATCGCTGTTTTATGTATAAAATATTTATGCTGCATAAAATTTATGCATAAAAATTACATTTATATCTGTGTCATAAATTCGTCAAAAATAATATTTTTGTCTTATTGATCTTTTAAAACTGATTTTCTCGAAGACGCTAAACATAGGCAGAGACATAATATCTGCGGTGTGATTTATTTAAGAATTCAATCATAACAAATATTCCTGCACTATTTGTGCATACCATGCTGTGCATATTTTGCATTAATCACTGCGCAAACAGTTTAATAACTTCAAGATGTTAATTTACATTCCGCATTCGTATAAAACGCGTACATATCTTAAACATTTGTCAATTCCACATTCGATAATTATTAATATTAATTATTTTTATGGATATTTAGAACGAATCCAAGAATTCCAATAACAACCTTAAACAACTTTTTTAGCCTTCTATACGTAGTCAAGATAAAAATGTCACGCTTACATCAACAGTCAGCATGTAATAACACGTGCGTCTGTGCACAAATAATATATAATCGAATCAATGCAACGTACCCATCAGCAACAGTAAATACGCAATTTTATTTTATCTAATAAATTGAATGTTTAATACTATATCATTCATATTTATCTTTTTTTATATGCAACAGTGTTTTATACATATTTAATCTGTTGTCAAAATTCCTATGTAAAAATTAATACAATAAAAAAAATATATATATTTATATTTATAAATATAAATATAAATATATATATTTATATTTATAAATATAAATATATATATAAATATAAATATATTTATAAATATAAATATATATAATAGAAAAAATTAGTAAAAACCAGTAAATACAAATTTCAAACTTTTTCCATACACGTTCCGAGGTCTTTACTATTAGATCGAATGAAGCAGATGACGAAGAGCTAACTAGGGCAAAAATACATTCATATATAAAGATATTTATGAATGTATATAGAGAATTGTCAAAAAAATATATTAACAAAGGACAATGACATCTCCAATATTAATATTCAGAAATTTTATGTAACCACGACGAAGGATGGTAATTTGTTCATTTTTCATATGTAATTCGATAGTAATCTTGACAGATAGCAACAATGAAATAGTATTAATTTGAGTAATTACGGCAGTATATGGTTTGCGGATAATTATTACATTCCCTTGTCATAAGCGAACATCATAAAACGAATATGAGCTTTGAACTATTTTTGAAAACAATCTAAAGATCCTATTTAGAGAGCAAAGAGAATAAATCGGTCAAGATCAATCAATTAAAATGACGTTATTTGTTCACTTTGTATAATATGTTACTATGTTGTAATATGTTATACACTTAATACAATTCAAATAACAGATTCGAGTTGTGTAATAATGAGAATTATTATGTAAAACTGATTTAATAATCTACTAGTGATATAATTTGCAACAAATTGCAAAAAAATTCAGAATGCGAAAACATAAAAGGTAAATTCGTTGCTTTTAATATCTTTGATATAAGTTTTATGCTTCAACAGTTCGTCAAAAAATGCGATAATTTAATAAGGAAAACATCACGAATTTAATTCAGTTTTATTTAATCCAAAAATTCAATCTAGAAATTTGCGCAGAGCTGTGATGATAAAGTCAGAACGAGTTCATACAAACTGTGATCATATCGTACAATTTACCGTATAATCGCAGTGTGATTGTCCTCGTTCGTTGCTAACTTAGAACCTGGTTCTCGAGTGAACGTAATTCTTAGTGACAATTGGAGCGCGTATAAGTTTCCACAGGGTGTTCGTCAAATCGATACATTCGTCACCGATTGACCTTTCGATTTTTCAGAAACGAGACACGCGCTCAAGACTTTCCCGTTGCGAAGAAAATGTTATAGAATACGAGTTTTCGCTGATACACGATTCCATAAATTACATTTTATGAATTATATCTGTAACTAAAAAAATGGAATCAGGTTTGTTTCAAGCAGAAAACGCTATAACTTATGGTTAGTAGGTATTTTGTAAATTTTTGTATCTTTCTAATCCATCGATAAAGTTAAACGTGACAATGAACACAGTTGCAAAAATATACCTGTTTGATAAGATATTGCTGTACTTTCATTCAACGTTATTTGAGAAAAAACATTTAATGAACTTGTATTTATTATTTCCTGGAAAATTATTACATTTACTAATTTGTAGTTGGTCATTTATAATCTTGGAACGTGTGAACACTCAACACCGATTAAAGTTAATCAATCAATTATATCATAATAAAATAAAAATGTCCCATTAATCGGTATCATTTTTTTCATTAATTTAAATTGGATTATTTTAGTTAACAAGAGGTACTGTAAACCTTGAAACATAGTAATTTATTACGATGTCGTGAATTTATTCAAACGAATTCCAATATCAATTCTCTTTTTTTGTATTTGACCATTGAAACCATTAACGTATAACATATAAGAATTCATTTAAATCAGATTCATTGGTAATAATAAAATTGCAAAACTATAATTGACAATAAAGAAGTTAAATGATCGTGACTAATGATGATCTTGGCAAAGCACAACAGAGACTACGTAAAATGATCTCTCATATGGTAATAAATATAGTATAAATAACAATGGTGAGACGCGATTAGATCACAAATATTTTGTATCTTTTATTTATATTTGTATATTTTAAGGTATAACTAAAATGTTTTTTAGTACAGAATTAGTTCTATGTTCTGTTTATTTTCTGCACTGATTTTGTAAAATACACTTTTATATAATATCTGTCTACATTGACGAGGAATTACAGAGAAAGTGAATAACTTCACTTTTTTATTTTGGATGCGAGATTTTGTTGGAACGTCATGATCTTTTGCTATAAGGTGAGTTTGTTCTGAATAACGTAAACAATTTCTTAAATCCAGCCTGCTTTGTCTCAATCTTGTTTTCTTCTAATTTTCACTCGTACGATACACATGATGTATGAAAAAGTATGTTCTACTGAAAAATAAATTTGAGAAAACTTGACATAAAACATACATAAAACATATTTATGTTTTGCAGGAATTTGAAGAATACATACATTAGTATACATATACATATATGAAAACTAAATACTCCAAGAAATACCAAATGTCCTTATGATATCGACATTTATGTCAATTAAATCTAAGTTCACTTGTTGCGAAAAAAAGACATTTAAAATAGCAATGTCAGCTTAGATCCTAACCTAACCCCAATCTTAACCGACACGTGGAGTCTGTTTTTATTTATACAAACTGAAGTGAGGAAACAAAATCCTTTACTAAATGGACATTTGATAAAAATTTGCATACACCACAAACTTATTTACCACAAACAGTAACTATGTATATTCGCCTAAATGAATCTGTTCTACATCTGACAACGATATAACACGAAATTCGACAATCAGCTCTGATCCTTCGCATCTTTCCGTGAATCTGAACTATAATTATAGGGAAATTTTTTAATTCAGATTACAAAAAAGTGCGTGTAAGCTGGATAATTAGTAACCGATAATTAGTAACCGTCAGTCGATGGTTTCATTTTCAGACTGAAATTGTACGATGCAACACGGCGTAGTCGTAGAATCCATGTGGCCAACAGACAACGAAAATAGGCGAATGTAGAAAGTAAATTCACGACGGAGAAATTCGCGTCGAAAGGATGGATCGGGCAGCATCACTGACTACCACTTTTCGAGCATGTTCAGTTTAATTTTTGCGTAAAATGTGAACGATCGAATGATAATACGACACGTGTCGCACATTGTTAATTATGTATGTACATAAATACCCAGTTAGGTAACTATCTCGTATCGGAGTATGTACATTAAAATTTTTTAACATTTGTCGTTAGGCTGAGTTAAATCTGCGCGCAGAAATGATTAATTCCTTTCCTTTTCTGGATTCATCTATCTGCAATATCTATGTTCATTATATCATCGCAGTTTGCATATTAATTTATTGTTTACGATATTACGTGAAAGATATCATTACGATAGCTATGATTAGGAAAATCACGATTAGAATATTTGAAAGAAATAATCGATAAATTAAAAATAAGGGGAAAGTTAATTTTGGCATTTGGGATGTCAAAAACGGGAGAGAAAAAATTCCAATACATAGCATTTTCTTTCATAAAAAGAGAGAAAACGTGAGAAATAAACGATTCCTATTGTGAGATTTTTCAGCTTGAGGTTGAAACCAGTGATGTGATAACTTTCGATTTGAGCGGCTCAAATGAAGCGATTCCGAATAGAGAAGAAGGAATACACGGTTTCGTACTCTCGCTTTCTTTTGTCGCCACGTTCGAAATAAGTAAAATAAACATTATACAATAGTTGAATAGCTCTGTTTCCAGCATGCAACGCAAATATTTCTTGGTTCGTCGAGATCTTTTGACCCTTTCAACGTGCTCTTGTCGCTCTTGTATATAGCATATTAATTAATTCATCAACAGCGATAAAATTTATAGCTACCAGTCACAAGTGATTGTCCGCT